GCAACTGACTAACCAACCCGGTGAGTCGAGTCCCCTCGAGCAGTGCTCACTGACCAAGCCTAACACCAAACTGATGAAAACATGGTAGCATTTAGTCTGCATTTATAAATAATATGGTTTATTTAAAACCTGCAACAATCTCTTCCAAAGTGATTGCAGTCACTTCAAGTCAGAGCGCAACTGTTTGCAGAAAGTTGGCCTCTTATAAGATGAGCTCCCTTATTCATTGTATTCCCAGAGTATTTTATTTTCTTTAATAAATATCGATGTTTGGTGTCACTGTATTGAGACAACATCACAACACAAAATATCAAGATGCTGTGCTGTATCGATTCCCCCCCCACGTCTACCGTATTACGGGTGAAAACACCAGTCAGCCAGAAGATCAAAACAAAAGTTAAGTTCAAGTATTTATACAATATCAGTTAACTATAAGGTAAAACAATATCTATAACAACAACTACTACTAAATACAATGTCCCAATGGGAAAACCATTTAAACGTGACAGCGATAACATTTTGGAGAATCAAAATCTGTAAAAAATAAATAAATAAAAAAATAAAATTAAAAAAAAAAGTAAAAAACTTGCAGCTTCCCAAATGTAACATTCAGGATTATTGATGCAAGTCCAGAAATCAGAGCCACAAAGTAGACAAAAGGAAAACATATTATTGATACAGAAGTTGTTTTCTATACAAGATCACTGCAAAAAGCCATACCTAATGTCCACCCTACTGTTACTCATTTTATATTAAGATTTAAAAATTAGTTGGTATTGGTATGCCGAGTAGCCTCAATAATAGTAATAAATCACATAGCAATAGTACATTCTTATAGTTGTAAAAAGCATGAAATTAAGTAATCCAAATATTCAGAATACGTAACTCTACCGGCATCCAGCATCTATCTACATGTAAAAAGAATTTGGTGTTTTCTGAGGGTCCAAAAAGAAATAATAGAATTTGAATCAATTTAAATTAAGAAAATTTAGTTTAATACGACTAATAGGCATTATGAGCTCTGTCATGGAAAAAAAAAAATAATTTAGAATTATTTCTTCCTGAATTGAAGTCCAAACATCAGAGCTACCTCATGAGATCCAAGTGTGACATCAGCTGACACTCTTTACAGGAGACTCCATCTGAACTCTGTGGAGCCTGATCTGGTTTGTAAGTCTGACCCTGAAACCTGAAGAGGATCTTTCTGTCTCTTCAGATTCATTGTGATCCAGTGATTTCCGTCCTGCATGATCACGCTGATGTTTGCACAGAGCAGATAATGAAGTGAATGTTTTTGCACATTGGTAACAGTGAAACAGTTTATTTACAGTGAGGGATTGTTTATGTTCGGATTATAAACTGAGATTCTTAAAGCTCTTGTCACACTGTTATTAAGTTCACTTCAATATGTCGAAGTTCATGGCAATCACGACTCGCTGAATATGAGAAACTTCTGTCACAGTGTCTACAGTTGTATGGTTTCTCTCCTGTGTGGGCTCGTTTATGTACTTTAAGGTAACATGCAGTGGTGAAGGATGACCCACACTGGTCACAGAGGTGCTTTTTAACCCCACTGTGACTGAGTTCATGTCGTTTTAATTCACTTGGTTTGGGGAAGCCTCTCCCACATTCTTTGCAGTAGTTCATTTTGTCTCCAGTGTGTCTACGCTGATGTACTTTTAGGCTTTGTTGATGACTGAAAGTTTTTCCACAAAGGTCACAGAGAAAGTCTTTCCCACCACCACAGTGACGACAGGGTTGAGAAGTGGATCCATCTGTGTCGCTCTGCTTCTGAACAAAGACACAAAGACAGTGAGAGTCAGTCCTTCAACATTTATATCCTGAACATCGCCTGAAATAAAGAGCATCTCTGCCAATGTCCAATTACATTTTACTGTTTACATTATAACGCTCAGCTTACTGGCAGAGGTGGGTAGTAACGAGTTACATTTACTTGAGTAAGTTTTTGGGGGAAAAAAAAAAAGTACTTTTATTTTGCACAATACTTTTTACTTTTACTTGAATACATTTGTGATGAAGAAACTGTACTTTTACTCCGCTACATTTGGCAATATTTGACTCGGGTTTTTTTGTAATAATTAATTTCACACATTAGATAATACTGCTACTAATGGATCATGCCACCACTGGAGTTTTCTGCAACTCTTTTACCAATCAGATGTGGCCATGCAGTCACACGACCAGTTTGAAACTGTGGCGGACAGAGCAGCCCAAGCGTTTTAAAGTAGCGGACACACGGAAAGATGAAACACATGAAAACATGGCAGAGTAAGCTGTTACCGCTAGAACTGAAAAGGATGAACACCCTTGGCCTCATTTACAAAAATTTGTACTGCTTTTAAGTGAAACAAAGAACAGCTATGTCTTCAGTGTCGGATTCTTCAGTGCGAGCCAAAACAAACCAACTTTTCGGCGTGAAAAAACACCAACTCATGTAACCTGAGGAAACGTGTCACGGTACGTTTACTCTAAATATCTTTTTAGCTGTGGTTAGTTGGACGTCAGTCTTATGTTACAGCAGCTTTGTCGAGCTCAAGGCCCGAGTTTGATTACACTAGAATCACGTCATATTTTCGGCCCTATGTTGTAGTGAGATAAGTTTGTGGGTGTTGTTTTCGCAGCTTTTAACTCCTCGCTGGTTAGCTAGCGTGAACTCTAAGCTAACAGCTAGCCTGGTTAATGAAGCTAGAGTTCCACGCAGATGTAAACAGCTCGTCTCTACTGCTTTAACTGTTAAATCAGAAGGCAATACAGCGGTCGACAGGGTTTATTATGTGAAACAGCAGCCTGTTTAATTTAAACAGTCTGCATTAAGCTGGGCAAACACTGTACAATTTTTTTAGTCACCTTATTTAGCTCCTGCTCAAACTGTACAATTGAATCGCAGGGGTTAGAAGTTTGTAGGTCACACTGAAAAGTCTTGATATGGAAGCGTAGAGCTTCCACCCATGCAAACGAAAAACTGAGCTATATCACGTTATTATGTGAAATGTTTATTGTTCTAACAATATACTTTTCATGTTTGTACAATATACTACCATATTATTAAAATATACATAATTATGACGTTTGTACTATATAATATTTTGTACAAAAGGTTTTGTTATGACGTGATAATTACATTGTAATAACAAACATGATAGTACATTGTTAGAACAATAAACTTTTCACATTATAACATCATATACTTCTATTTTGTTTGCCTGGGTGGCAGCTCTACGCTCCCGTACTCAGCTTGCAAAATTTCTACAAGTTGTGCCTCCATCGCTTGTGTCCAGCAGCATTTCTGTGTCAGAGGCTGCGTTGACACCATCATGAAGGGTGACCAGGTTTCAAACAGGTTGGATTATCTTGCAACCATATGATTGATGATCGGGAGCTGGTCGTGAGGTGTTAATCGCTTCTCATTACCCCATGTATACTACATGATGCACGACACACAATTAAGGCGAAACTCTGGCTTTTCCCCAAAACGGTCGATCGACTGATAAATCGTCTCAAAATGGACCAAAAATTGCACAGTGTATACCCAGCTTTAAGAGGCTAGTGTCAGGGTTATATTGTTGATTGTCATTTATGCTTAGAAATATTTACTTATATATGCTTAGAGTTTATAGTCAATGTCATATTGGTAGGGGTCTGATCCTTAGTAGTCTGCAAAGACTGTGTGTGTTTAAGGTCATGAGAGAGGTTACATCTTCTCTTACTGATATATGGTATCGCAAACACACTATATCTATTTTAGTATAAGTGCCTTTTGTTTAGGTGAACTGCTGGACTTCCAGACCAGCAGGTTTAGGGAAGTCGTTTATTGGGTCACATTCTGA